ATTTGCTGACAATAACATGTTTGTTGATGTGCTTGATTGAGAAAATATACAGTGTACTCTGGATGGAAAATCTCATTGTGTATGCTGTAATGATGTACAGTGAATGAATGCAAATAAATAAATTGAAATTTTAAAAAAAGAAAGAAAAAATGGTTACTATTAGGTTAGGAAAGTCTTGACACGCTTTTTTTTTTTTTTTTTTTGAGAGGTTTTTGCTATAGGGCACGTGCACTCGCCAGGCAGAGAGAAACAGAGAGACAGAAAGCGAGAAATCACCCCCCGGGGTGGATGGCCATGCCACAATCCCTTCTCCTCCATTCTTCTCTCAGAATCTTGGGCACGCAAATACATATGCCTGGTGTGAGTTTAAGCCACCAGATCCAGGACTCAAACCTCGGTCGACTACATGGGAGTCCAGCGACATAGCCATTAAGCTAACTACTGGTCCCATGCATCATGACTTTCACAATGCCCCAATAAATTTGGTGATAAATATGTTCACTGATTTAGTTATGGTTATCTTTTCACAATACAGGTTGGGCATCCCTAATCCATAAGTTTGACATCTGAAATACTCCAAAGTCTGAAACTTTTTGAACAGACTTAATGCCATAAGTAAAAAATTCCACACCTGACTTCTCATGACAGGTCACAGTCAAAATGCAGACACACAACACACAGATTTTTCAGCATCTACAAGGTAAAAAAGATCCTTCTAGTCCCTTTCAGCTGTGATATGTCACTTCCATATCTGCCCAGATGTTCTCACAGAGTTGAGATAGTGATATCTTTGCTTTGTAATGGTCAATGTTCACAAAATTTGTTTCACACACAAAATTCTTTTAAATATTGTTTAAAATTACCTTAAGGAGGGTCAGTGTAGCAACTAGGTCACTGGACTCCCACATGGCCAACTGCGGTTTTAGTCCCGAATCAGATGGCTTGAAACTCATCCAGGCGCATGTGCACGCGTACCAAAACCCCATGAGAATGGACGAGAAGGGATTGCAACATGGCCAACCCTCCTTTCCCCCTCTCTGTCTCTGGTGAGCAAACACACCCTAAGGCAAAAACCTCTAAAAAAAAAAATTATCTTTAGGCTCTCTGCATGAGGTATACATGATACACAAGTGAATTTCATGTTTAGACTTTGTCTCATCCCTAATATATCTTACTATGTATATAAAAAAAAAGTCAAAATTTAAAAATCTAAAATCCAAAACAATTCTTGTCTCGAGCACTG